CAGCTTCGCTTCAGCGAGCCGTTTTTCTTCTCTTGCTTCGGCGCATTTGTTCCCGGCGTATCCTCTTCTGCTCTGGCATATTTTTTGATCCTTGCCATGAGCTTCTCCATACTCTTTGGCAGAGTTTTTGCCAACGACTTCTGTAGCATGCAATCATCCTCCAGACCGTTCTTAAAAGGCATGACCGCCAACTTCTGGTTACATCTTGGCATTCGGTTGAACACCTCACAATTCATTTTCGCATAAGCCCTAAGGCTTTCACCCACGCCAATCTTCAAAGCCATCAGGGAATCTACCCTTAATGGCTGCAACTTGTTTGTGACAAACCTGTCCATGAACATCTCGGCCAGGCCTTCCCAACTCTTCACAATTCCTTTTGGGAACTTGTGAAACCAGTCTGATGCAATTTTCCCAAAGGATGAGGGGAATACCTTGCACAGCAAAGGTTCGTTCCCGGTATACAACGTCATTGAATTCAGGTACAAGTCGACGTGAAAGTTAGGGTCGGACTTACCATCATATATCTGGAGCCTGATTAAGGCCGAATTATACAACATTAAGGCTGTTAATTAGGATCTCTTAACTTTACTTACTTGTCAAACCGTATATTTTATGTGTGTTTAATGTCAATCAGGTTGTACATAATCAGAGCATAAAATGGGCAAAAATACAAAATTTGGAGAGAAAATAGCTTCCCGCACGTGTGTTGACTTTTTCTGCACGTGCGTTGACTTTCCCGCACGTGTGTTGACTTTTATTGGAAAACAGGTCCGATGTTTTAAAACTGTTTGAAAGGCAGCAGAAGTATAAATAGGAAAGAAGGAGGCTGGATTAGGGTTCTAAAAATTAATTCCAAGAAGAGAGAGGCTAGGGTTAAGAGAGAAAGAAGGATTCTTAAGCTTTTAAGACAACTTCCTTGGGGGCTTCCATCTCTCCCATCTTTTCTACCTCTTCTCACTCCTCCATGAGTGACTAGGTTATTCTTTTCTAGGGTTTTGATGAAATCCTAGCCATGCAATTAGGTTTTCTTTTTGATTTTTAATTATGTAAAAGTTTGAACGATTGTATGGTGTTTTAGAAGTTTCTTATATATATTTTCCATTATTTTTTCAAGCATTCGGCTTTCTGTGATTGTTGAATGTTTTTCATACAACAGTTTTCTATTCTTTCACATTCAAGGTATGAGACGAACCATACTACGAGGGACGAGTCGTGTCGCTACCCTTGTTTAGAGTGAACGATTTGTACTACTTGAGATGGTTTGTACTCGTACATTGAACGTAATGATTTTCTTGTTAAATGCTTTGGACTTGTAGTTGCGAAGTATTATTCCGTTCGAACCGTAACATAATTGATTTCAATTTGAAACCCTATTTACGCAACTAGTGGTGAACTCATTGCCGTAGGAATTTTTTCAAAAATTAATATCTCAAACCTTAATTTTTAATTGTCACTTTAATTTCTTAATTTCATTTAATTCCTTTTTAGTCATAAATCTCTCAATCATTTTAATCAAAATTAATTTAGGAATTTAGCGATTAAATTAGTCTAATTTCACAATTGTCCCTGTGAATCGATACTTGGACTTGCCATCATTCTAAAAAAATTTGGTACAGTTTAGTGTTTATTTTTGGTATGTGTAACGAACCATTAAATTTTGGCAGCGTATGGAACCTCTTTGCGGCCTCAAACCTGTCAAACTCCATTGAGAACGGTGTCTTCGGCTTCATAGGAGATGTGACCTCAGCATTCTGCCACTTCCTCTGAAGGTAGTCCCTCAAATCCTCTTTAGCCCGACCAGGAGCTCGGCTATCGACAAACTTCAGCCTTTTTGGAGCACTGCTCCCGGTATCGTTACGAGTCCTTTTGGATTTCGCTTCATTCACTGTATCAAAGCAAAGTTCCCTCCTCTGAACATGCCGATGTTCCTTGACATAAGTTCCTTTGGTGCGAGGTGTCCTCTGGGACTCCCCTCTTACTGATTCTGCTCGCTCGACATCCCGTGAAGGCCGATGTGACCGTTCCTTCTCCTTGTCATGCTGTGGGACTGCTGGGATTGCTTTCTGTCTCCCTTTCTGGGCGTCGTTCTTGGCCACCGGAATCGGCGTATCATTCAATGAAAACGGTAGCTGCATGACATTGTTCTGCATTATGAAATTGACAACCGATTGCAGGTCTTCCAACTTATTCGCCATTCCCTTCATCTTGTCGTCCCTCTTGAGGCATCTGTCTTTCCATACCTGGAGGTCGCTTTTGTTGTAATACCCGCCTTGACATGCTTTTTTCGGTGTGTATCCTTCTTGGCCCACGTTTTTTTCCTCAAGATTCTAATCTCGAGGTCCTTCATTAGGGTTCTCCTTTTTCATGTTAGGACCGGCATGTTTGCCACTTCCACTGGGGATGTCGTCCCCAATCTTCCCTTTCTATCTGTCGTTGGCCATCTATTCTCCTTACATTCCCACAGACGGCGCCACATTGTGGATGCTGATTTCCGACCACACTGTCAAACAGGAACTCAGCAGGAGAGCACATGCAGAATAGATCACGTTCGAACAACCTGTCACAGAAAGATAAGACTCCCGCGATAGTTCGTCCACCCGGGGGGCCTCCAACGATCAAGTCAGTACTCAGTTATCTCTTAAAGATAGCAAATAGTGTTTAACTCACTAGTCAGAATACAAAAAACGTACCTTAGACCCACGAGGGTGCCTTATTTTTATAACTAGCATTAACCTTATCCCTGTAGTAGCCTAGCTTCAATGGACTTTGGCTCAATGCTCATCTTGGACTCCCAGCTAAATAGAGATAAACTCTCTAAGAGCTCTATCTTTATCCAGACTGAGGTCCTCCTCCATTCTAGGACTCCTATCCCTTATCCGCTCATCTTGGATTCCTATATCTTCGTAGATAATCCCGGCCTAACAGAGATCACCTTAGCGTCATGACCAAGACACATGGCACCTCGGCTGACAATTCAGCGCCACCTTGGCCATATGTTGTTATCCACAAAATATGTCCCCACATACTTGATATAATTATATTGACTTGTTTTTTTAGTAAGAATAAAGCTATTGAAATTAATGTAGATAGTATGTAAACACATGAATAAAAAAAAATAAAATATGTATTTCAACGTAAAAGAGACAATTATTTGTTCTCTTTGTATATAATGAATTACTGATGAAAATAGTCTAAAATATTATATGAATTAAAATTTTTAGAAAAATAGCATAATCATATCAAACTTTGTGGAGTTGGATGTCTTTTTATCAAATGCTAAAAATAAAAAGTGACTCATTTTAGTAGTGTATATATATATTTTGGGTTATTTTTATCAAAAAAATAAAAAAAATAATTCAATTATCAAACAATATTTATTTTAATTTGAATTATTATAAAAACTAAAATGTTATTGGTGGGCCAATTAAAGTTACTTTATTTTAACTTTACATATAAATTAGGGCGGGATAAACATCCAATCGAAAGGCTTAACCTAATCTCAAATGGGCAATTTCAATGTAACGAATTTATCAATTTAAAGAAAGTTAAATTTCTGTCAAGTAGCAAATATACATGTTTCAATAAGAAAATAAAATTTTTATTTATTTATAAAAGTATAATTTCTTTATTCTGTCAACTGATCCACGTACACTCGCAAATCTATCCAACCCTCCCGATCGATTTTGGAATCATAGGTGATAAGATGCAGATAAAATTTTCTTAACCCAAGTCTTATATTTTAAAATTTTCTTAACCCAAGTCTCATATTTTAAAATTTTCTTAACCCAAATCTCATATTTTGGGAAGTGGTTAAAGGCTAATTTTTTGACTTTTAATACTTTTAATTTCTTTTGAGTCATATCACTTCTTTCTTTTTTTTATATGATTTTTAAAAAAAAATTAAAAAAAATCAAAATATTAATTTTTAACTTATTTCTCAAAGCAAGTCGTTTCTTCTTCGATGGGGGGCGTAAGAAACTGGGCCTAATTAGAACTAAAAAATGGGAAACTTACTGATAAGTCTCATGTACCAAGTTCAAGATCCAGCTAATCTCAAAACAAAACACTTGCACCAATTAGTCCAATACATTTTTAATTGTTACCAAAAAATCTTTTTTTTTTTAATTTACAGACACTGTTCACATCTTACTACCGTCGGATTTCCATTTAACGGTCGCCGAAGACTCACCGGAATGTCTAGAATATTGCCGGGAAAAAAAAATTAAAAAACATGTTATGAAACTGTAAAATTTTATAGTTCTAAAGAATGTTATAAAACTGTAAAATTTTATAGTTTTAAACCATGATTCATTCCAGCACCAAAAAAATATTTTGAAACTGCAAAATTTTACAGTTTTCACCGCCTATAACTAAAACTCGAAAACTACTTGTTCAGAATTCAAAAATTTTATCTATTAGAACAGAAAAACAGAAGTGTATAGCAGAGAAAAAAAAAGAGATCGAATGCGAAAGGCGGATGTAGAGAGAGGATTATACTCCGACAACTATTTTTTGTTTAGATCTAGCCAGATCTGATGTAGATCTAAGTAGATCCACTCATCTTCTTCGTCGGAAATATATATCTTCGCCGTCGGTGAGAGTGAAATCACGAGTTGATTTCGATGGTTAACCCCGATCAATGGAGAAAGACATGAACACTTGCACCATCGTCTATGACAAAGACGATGAGAGAAAAATGTAGAAAAAAAGATAAAGAAGAAAATGTAAAAAGGGAGGAAAAAACCAGAGAGATGGAGGAAAGGACTTTTGGATGTACCCAAAAAGTTATAGAATTAAATGGTGTCCACATGTTCCACATGGGACCAGTGGGTAATTTCCCCTAAAAAATTAAACTTGGGCCGAGCTTCAAAGAGTAAATTGGGCTGTTAAAGTTGGGCTTGGACATATGTAACTACTACCTCCAACTGGGCTTCAACAAGCCCTAGCCCGAACTTGCATGCATTGCAGCCACACTGAAACCATTCCATATAACACGCCCAACGTTCTTAAACCCTAGAAACCCCCATTCTCTCTCTCTCTCTCTCTCTCTCAACAAAGCAGCAGAGAAGCGGTAAGCATTTTAGGGTTTCTCTCACTCTTCTAGCAAACCCTAACCCCTCTCTCTATCTCTATATGTGTATATATATATAAGTTTAGAGATAGTTTGAATTTTTGTATTTATTCGAATCTGCGAGTGTTTGATGATTGTGTTGTATGATCAGTGTTTGACAAGTTACGAGAGTGATTTTGGGCATTAGTTTGGTGCTTATCTGAGTGATTTAGAAGATAATCTTGTTTTATGGTTGTTTCAGGTGTGTTTTGTGGGTAAACGATGCTTGTGTTGTTCGAAACCCCTGCGGGCTTTGCCCTTTTCAAAGTATTGGATGAAGGAAAACTCTCCAAAGTTGAGGTAATTTTAGGTTAATACACTCGCATATAGATATATGTATTTATGTATGAATGTAGGGTTTTAAGCTTTATGAGTTTGTGGATTCTCTGATTTTATGGTGTATATATCTTAGTCACTAATTGTGGTTTTGTGTTGTAGGACTTGTGGAAGGAGTTCTCCACAGCTGAGTCTTCAAGACAGGTCATTTTTATATTCCTTTATGTTGTCATACACATGCAAGCTCTGATATGCATATATGTGTTTGTATTTGGGGTTTTGAATACTGATTCTGATTTATATAGTGATTTTTTTAGTGAAATTGTATTTTACTATGCTTTAAATGTCCATAAATACTCCTGTTGTTTTTGGGTATCCGAAAGGAAAAAAATTATTCAAACAAAAAAATACACGATCAAGCATTGTTTAGGTATTATAACTTAGTTAAGTTGGTATGTCGGACATCCAAGATGGTGGAAATGAAAATTTCAAAATGACAGATTGTAATTCAGGTCTGGGTGCCTGAAAGAGTATGCATTTGATCACATTTTGGGATAGTATAAGTAGGAGTTTCGCCGTTATATTGGGTTTGATTCCATTTAAGTCTAAGCAGCTTTTAGTAGTTGTACATATATTGTACATATATTGGAGTCAAGATCCCCTCCTTAACTTTCCTCCTTGACTTCCTACTTGCAGGGCTATTGGGTCCACTTTTA